GCATGTCACTGCATTAATTTATTGTTATTTTATTGAAGTAATTGTATTGTTTTTCTATTACTGCCATTAGATTTATAGAAACTAATACTATTATTGATATTGTTACTGATAATATTAATATTGTTACTGATATCACTTCTGATTTATTATTATTGTTATTATGATTAATTTACTATTTATTAATTTATTATTACTAAGTACACGATTCCTATACTAAGCATGTGATATAGATGTTGATTGGAAACTTATATAGAATGATTGAACCACATGTGTATATTGATTTGATTATACTGCATTGTTATAGATTTCAAAAAAAATTCATAAATATTTCTGTTTATTGATTTATATGATTTCCCTTCCTACTATAATCTATGATTTGGGAAGGATTGTCTAGTGCTTATTTGATTTAACCTCCAAACTATTTTACTAATCAACTGATCTACCAATTTACCAATTTATTTATTTACCGATTCTTCTATTTCTATACTACACTATTTTATTGGCTTCTATACTATAATATTATATTATTTTATAAATGTTACTACTACTACATGTGATATATTATTTTTGTACAAATTTATGATCATATTAACTGTTACTTCTATGAATTAACTAACGATATGCGTACTACTAGTTTATCATACTTTTAGTTTAGTTGTAGGATTTAGTGATATGCCGAGGTTTTTATCTCATTATATGTGGTTTAAATGATTTAGACCACGGAAGAGAATCAGGAGTATGAGATTTATCAGTTATGTGATCCTTCAGGTTTTTTATTATTTTGTAGTAAGGAGCAAATAGATTGTATGTTGTGCTTATGTAACTCTTGGTTATTATTTTGAATTTTTTGAGTATGAATATAGATGTATATTGATGTTTAGAAAAATAAAAATATTTTACTGGTACTTTAATTGTTGTTAAAAAAATTTAGATAGCTCTCGTGGTCATTATTATATTATGAAAATATAAAAAGAATAATTCTTCCTAATCTGATTCTAGGGCATAACATCTTCAATACTACAATACCCTTACACTGAAAAAATATTGAACTTCCTAAAAATAATTTATTATCTCCACATATTATTGCTTCTCTTATAGCCTCTATTTTTAATAATGAGATCAAGGAGATTATTTATTCCACTGGCTAAAGCTAAACCCTTAGACTACCATGACATAATCATTAAATTTTATGCTAAATCATGGAATATTTTTTGAGATAAAGTGTGGTCAATTATCCAACACTTCTTTATAATGAAATAGCTTCCTCAAAATGTTAAATCCATGGGAATAACTCTTGTACCCAAAAGCTCTCATGCAAATGACTTCTTTCACATCAAACAAATCTGTTTATATAACACTTCCAATAATATTATCACCAAAATCTTGACTAATATAAAGAAATTGGTCATGCAATATATTATCCACTTTAGCCAAGTTGATTTTCTTCAACAATTTTTTTTTTTTCTAAAAGCACTACTCTAACCAATTACTCCAACAGTTGGGCTATAATATAACAAAAGCTTTTTTATACAAAAATTGATATAAAATAAAAGCTTCTGAGAAGGACTTTGTTCTTAATTGAATGAAACAAAAAGCTTTTCCCTCTGTTTTATTGATTAAATCAAAGGATGCATCTCACAGTATGGCTCTTTGCATGATTTTTTTAACTCTACATATGGGCTCAAACAAGGCCGCATTATCCCTCCTTAAATCTTCTACATTGTGGTAGATGGATTATTTAACCTATTTAAAGTAAAATTTCCAATAATTAGTATCTAGGTTTCTCTGGTAATCATTATCAAGTTTGTCATCCTCTTTGCATTAACAACCTACTAGTTTTTGGTAAAATTTTCCAACAACCTTAATATTCTCAATATCATTCTTGATAATTTTGGGAGTGCAACTGCTTATATACCGACCATGATAAAATCTTTATATCTTTATCTCATAAAGCCGTCAACCCCATCTCCCTTTCCCAATTTATCAACCTCAATTTGGATGAACCTAGTCATGAGTATCTTGGCATCCCTATCTCCACTAAAACCCTTCACCTTATTGATTTTCAACCCCTTCTCCACAAAATAGAACATATGCTTGAATGTTGTTATTGCTAAACCCATATCTTTCGTTGGTAGATATCAACATATAAAAATTTTCATTTGGAACTTCATATCTTGTTGGATTAGGGCTCTTCACGTGCCTAAGAAGATAAACATCTATTGCTCTTGATTCCTCTATCATGGTAACACTAATTTAAAATAATTACATCTTGGCTCTTGGGTTTAAACTTGCAAGTAGAAATCCAAAGGTCATATTGGCTCTTACCTTTAATCATTGTCTTTAATTTTTCTTACAAATGCTCTCTTTTCTTGAGATTTCTCAACTCTCACTTTCCCATAACTTGCAAGTGGAAATAAAAATATGGGTTTATATGGAAGGTGATTTCTTCAAACTCTAATCCTTTCTAGCAAAAAAATCTAGTTGTTTCATCCTCTGTTAGATCTAAGCTGTTTTCTCACTAGTAATGGTGACAAACCCAATCTATTATTGAACCCTTGGTGCAAAAACATGCCTCTTAAAGTGGTTTTGGGAGAAGGGTTCTCCATTATATCATTTTCCATTCCATAACTCTAAATGGATAATTGGTGGCATCACTAACACTAACATTATTAAGGAAATTCCCATTTCTAGGAATAAAAATGTTAATCTTGCCTTCATGGAATTCTTATCTTCATTTTATAATTACCTTCTTATAGTGAATTAGAACAAACACATATGGAATAAAGAGTACTCCATTAGATTCACCTCATTTTCCTGGTTCTGCATGGTCTATGGCCTGAAAATGGCTAATACGCTTCAACAATTAAATAGTTTGAACATGAATAAATATTTTTACTTCGAGCACCAGGAAATAAAAAATCACTTATTCTTTGAATGTCTTTTCATATTCAATCTACATGTCTAATGTTTACCTTGTGCCTCATTCTTTATTAGGCCTAACTTCAATAAAATATTTAACTAAATAATTGACATGGCTTCTTCTTTCACCATGGTCAAAGACCATTACTATCATAGAATCTACTTCACCATTTATTAAATATGGCATGAAATGAATGATAGAAATTTTAGTAAGCCACTATCAAGTAGCTCTTCTATCATAAAAAATTTAAATTGTAGCGAGGGCTAGATGCGAGCATTGGAAACATTCACATTAACTGCAGGATAATTATTTTGTGATGAAAATTTAAACTACAAATCCTCTACCACTTCAATACAATCAACAACATGATTATATTTGGAATATTTGAAATATTCACGGATCTGGATTGATGCTAGAAAATAGAAATACATCTTCTGCTTTCAATTTTTTGCTAGGATAATAAAAAACTTTGACACCTTTTGCTATGGATGGTTATTTGGCTTCAGTATATATTCTAAAACAATTTTCACTTCATATAACCAATGGTATTAACTATTTTTTAGCTTGGTTTTTGCTGGACAATGATGTAAATTTAGCCCACAATTGTTGACTTGCCCTAATGATTTATTGTACTCCTTTAATTTTTTATTTTGCTCTACCCATTCCGTAATCATAGGGGAAGATCCTTTTTGGTGTTATTCATGCTTGATGTTCATGTCATTTGTCAATATCATTGAGTCTAGAATTTTTTTGACTATAGAGATTTGTATTTAATTTCATTATTCTTTCCGTATAAATTTTGTAATAAGTCTTTTGTAGTTGTTCTTGAGGTCTTTGCTCATTTTTTGTCTTTTTCCTTCTAGATGAATGAAATTGGAATATGCCCTCTATTTTTTTTTTTTTTTTAAGCTTGAGGCGAAGTTATTCAAAATATAAATATAGTAAATGTATTTAAAGTGTTGAAATAATTCATGAATGATGCAAGGAGGTTGTATGATGCAATATTTAAGATTTGACATCATGATCACTACAATAAATTAAAATGTCACATTAAATTAATTATACTGAATGAATCATATCTGAGGTCTCATTTTCTCCTATATAGAGGACTTTCAAAACCTCACACTAACAATCACCAATTAAAAATAATAAATAAAACATAGAATTTTGACAAAATAATTTTTTTCATTAACTTCTTTAAAATGAGGTTACATCATGTGTTCCATTCAATGTTATTTTTCTTTAACATTTAACAAAATAGATATATTTTATCCTAACCATACTAATGGTATTGCTGACTACTTTATCGGCCAATAGAGCTCATATGTCTTTCTAAGAATATTTCTTCCTCGATGTCTTGATATGAGCTATCACCTTGGTCAAGTAGGCCTTTCAAATTTCCCAATGATGTCATCCCCTCTTCAACTACCTTACATATCTCAAAGAGAAAGGAGAGCGACATTTCATCTTCCTTAACAAAGGCCAACCCCCTCCCTCCTTTAATCATGCCCTCTAAAATCTCTGTGGTGGTGACATGCACACTCTCCTTGGATTATGTGATAGCTAACTATTACGATGAGAGTCTCATCGATTTGTTTCATTTCTGAGGCCTCCAAGTTAATCCTTTTATTCCTTCGCTTCAACTCGAGTGATTCAACACCGAAATTTATTAAAACCGGGCATCTTTTGATCCATAAATTAGTTTATGAATACTTCTAATTCAATTATATGTGCTTTGAGATCTAATTAAGCTTCATAGGTGTTCTACCCAGCTTACTGTGCTCTTCAATACCAAGTTCACTAATAAATACGACTGAGGGAAATTATAACCGACCCGCGTTGAATCAAGATATGAACCCGCCTGGTTTGAAAGTCTCCTTTGACGGCTCCAATCAATACAAATTTTCTAGAAACATTTCACTAATTAAAATAATATTTCCCCCATACACACACCACATTCCTCGTTAAGACAGGTGGCAACGTGATCCAATGGCTTACAGCCAAGCCAGCTACTCTTGACTTCAGTTCCCGGTCCTCAGTCCAATGTCAAAGCGACGGCTTTTAATTCCCGAGACGGGAAGCTGCCTTCGACGAGTTCGACTATGAAATCCGAACAGAAACAGAGCTACAAAGAAGAGGTCGTATAGAGAGAGAAAGCCAATTCCTTGTCTTCCTCTCGTGAAAATCTCTGTTATTTCATAATAAGAAGAAAATAGTTGAACAAAGCAACAAAATCGAAGTTGGATTTTTCTCTCTCTACAACCTGAGAAAGAAGGGGAAGCTGAAGCTCTTTGTTTTCTCTCCTGCTTTTCAGCTTCCTGCTGATATCATCAGGTATTTTATATTTGTTTTGTCAATATTCATTTTCTTCTTTTTACACATCAAATGGTTCATTTGGCATTTGGGATTCAGATTTGCTTCAACTTGTTCATGTTTTCCATCCGTTTTCCTGAGTTTTGATTTCGTTAATGAAGAAAAAAGAGGCAGTGAAAGATGAATCAGATTCTAAAACTTGATTAGCTAGCTAAAATAAGAAGTTTGTTCGTTATATCTGGATAATCTGACAGGTTTCTTCTTCATCATATAGAGTAATTACTACATCAAATTTATTTTCCACACCCTTTTTTTTCTTGTGGGTGTTTGTTAGCTTGGTTAATAAACTTTTTAGATGTTTTTATCAAGATCTTGAGATCAAACTTTCATATATAAGCTTTAGAACTCAATCTTTTTGAAGAAATAATTTTTTTTTTTTTTTACTTCTAGGATGAACAAAAGGAAGAAATATGTTGGGTGGGTGCAATACATATTCATATAAAGCTTTAAAAATGTTTAATGTGTTGAATTTACTTGTGAAAGTGAATTCTGATAATGGTTCAAACAGTTTTTTTTCAGGTTCTGATCCGCGGAAAAATTTTGGCCAAGCTTAAATCTGAAAGCTTCTCCAATTGTCAATCAACTTCATTAGTAAAGTTCAAATGTATTCAGTTCAGAATGCTGTGGCCAACAGTGAAATCCAGGAAGAACCACAGAGAATTAGCACTGGAATGAAGCTAAGAGATTACATACCTATCTACATTCCAGCAATTGAAAGTGGGCTGTTAAATCAGAGCAGACATGAGAAGAAAAAACGCTTTCTTGATTTCTTGAAAGCCAGACCATCCAATGAATGGTTCCTGAAAATTCTCCGGCGAAATTCCAGTCCTTATATTGAGTCCTCCTCACCACCTTCCGATCCCGCAACAGACCATGGCCGTCGGCGCCGTTTTCGCGTTCCTTTCGTCCGCAAAATAAACTGGAAATCTCTATGGAACTCTTTCAAGAAATGGATTAGAAGTCCTGAGCACATTGCACTCTTTATCTGGTTACTCTTTGTTGCAGCAGGCTTAATCTTACTCTTTCTTGTCATGACTGGCATATTAAATGGAGCAATTCCGAGCAGTAGCCGGAGGAAGGATTGGACCGAAGTCATAAACCAAATCCTCAATGCATTGTTCACTATAATGGCTCTTTATGAACATCCAAAGTTCATTCACCAGTTAGTCTTGCTCTTGAGATGGAGACCTGATGATCAAATTGAGCTAAGGAAAATCTATACTAAGAATGGAGTGCCAAAGCATCATGAAAGAGCACATATGATGATTGTTGTCATACTTCTTCATATCACTTGTTTTGCTCAGTATGCATATTGTGGACTCTACTGGGGCTACACCAGATCAACCCGGCCAGACTGGGCCGAAGACCTAGTGATTGCTATTGGTATAGCTGCACCAGTCATAGCAGTAATATACACAATGTACAGCCCTTTAGGAAGAACAAATGATGAACCAGTCGCTGATTCAGAGCTCCAGAATCAGCAGACAGTGCAAGTTGAGCCTGAGGCATTTCATGAAAAAATCATAATCACAAGCCCGGAATGGATTGGAGGACTATTTGATTGCAGGGATGATACTACTGTCAGTTGCCTCTCCTTCTTCTGCACTTTCTGTGTATTTGGATGGAATATGGAGAGACTTGGCTTTGGTAACATGTATGTTCACATAATCACATTCACACTCCTTTGCATTGCTCCTTTCTGGGTTTTCGCAATTTCAGCGCTCAATGTCGATGATGATACTATAAAATTGATTTTGGTAATCACTGGAAGTGTGCTTTGCATCTTTGGATTACTTTATGGTGGGTTTTGGAGATCAGAGATGAGGAAGAAGTTTAAGCTTCCAGGAAATCCATTCTGCTTTAGTTCTTCTACAGTTACTGATTATATGCAGTGGTTATTTTGCTGGTCATGTTCTTTGGCACAGGAGGTAAGGACCGCTAACTTCTACGACATTGAGGACGATGGATTTTACCGGAAGGTTACAGATGAAGATGGGAGGCCTGTGTTGGTTCCATTGCCAAGAGAAGATAATCTTAGTTTCATGGAGAATTATATGAGAAGCCAATCTTCTCCAGCAAATGTGGGGATAATGGATGTGCAGAGGTATTCAGATGGCATTTCAGCTGATTTACAGATTAGCTTTGGAAGAGCATTAACTTGCCCTAAAGATGCTGTAACTACCCCACCTATTCCACATCTAATACAAGTAGAAGAGAATTGGCCATGGAGAACGATAGAGCTTTGAGGTGAAAAACAAGTTATTATGGTACATAGAAGAAGAAACATTGAAGTATGATATTCAGAGACAGACCGAAAGTTGGTGACAATCTTCTTTTTTCTTTTATTCTTCTTCGTTTCTATTTATTTATTGAGGAAAAAAGGGATTATAGTATGAGTAAGATTGAAGGAAATATTGGAGTTCTTACATCAAGGTTAGCTCCATAAGGTAGTATTCATTAGTATGTAGATAGCTTTTGTATTTGTAGTTTTGTTCATAATGAATAAAAAGTAGAGTGCAGAATTTTTTTCTAGAACTCAGCAATGGTGATTGTATTTAAGAAAATTGGAAGAACTTATGGCTTGATAATGAATCTGTAGTCTTTCAGTTATTTTATTTTTTTTAAATAACTAAATGTTATTTTGAGCCAATCAATTTTTTTTTTCAAACATTTTTCACATCTTGTAAAAAAGTGGAAATAATTATAAAACTACAAAGTTTTGTTTAAAATTTTTCTGTGATTGCAGAAAATATAAATAAGATGGCTTTCTTACTACTTTTTATAATAGTTTTTTTAATATAAAAACTTTTATACTAAAAAATTATTTTAAAAAACAATGAGAAAGTTATCTCAAATGAAGCCTAAGCCATCAATATCGTATAGCGAAATAAATCATCTATTTAGACACTAAAAAGGTTTAAAAGTGCTTGAAATTTGTGGTTAATGACAAACATCAACAGCTAAAAGTATGTGAATTTATGCAATTTGATAGAACGATTGATTGTGTATGAATCTCTGGATCTGAGAAACGATTGATTGTTACAAATTTTCTGCACCACCTGTAATGCTTGAATGACATTATGACATTCACATTAATGTATTGAAATCTTACAGATAAGGCGAAGAAGTGTGGAGCCTATGATAGCCTAATCTTAGAGATTTTTTGGCCGAATCTTAAAAGTAATTCACATAGCCATACGGTATTAATAGAATTGGACTTTCGAGGTCCAAAAGCCTATTTATTATAAAATTAAGCTGTCCTTTGGTGTTTAAACGAAAGACCAATTAAATTAATCATTGTGCTAAATTATATATATGTATATATATATCCTCAAAAAATTATCTTGATCGGGCACGAATCTCAAGGCCAAATAATGTTGGAAACTTCCGAGATTAAAATTGGGATCATCCAAACTCCGATTTCAACAAACTTATAGTCAAACTGAACGTCTCAGAAATACGAACCCAACGACACCAATTTCAACCCAATCCGAGCCCGAACGGGTCCAAATCAAGGGCCCGAAGCGATATTGGAAGGTCAAACCATAATTTGGGTTACGAAACGATTTCCAAACTTGACATTCTTATAATTGAATTGAGCGGCTCGAAGAGACGAATCCAACGAGCTCAATATCATTGAATTCTCACATCACTAAAACATTCAAATGTCCATCAAACAGTCCATGATCAAGAGATTCAACATCCGCCGTCCATCCAAGCCACTCCCCATATGCACTTGATCTCCCACCTATTTACGGGCCATCCCACTCTAAGAAATTTATAAATAGACCTCTTCTCTCTCTTAAAAGGGGGGCTCCAAGAAAGAGAGCAAGAGAGAGATCGTAGATTGCTCTTGCCTCCTTGCTCTTACTTGACCACCGCCTGGAATTCTGTAGAGCCACCACTTGAGGCCCTGAGTCAGTCGTACCACCACCTGAGGCCCGCAGTTCTGCCAAACCACCACCTGAAGCCCAGACTTTTGCTGGACCACCACCTATAGCCCGAACTTCTGCCGGACCACCACATGAGGCCCAGACTTCTGCCGGACCACCACCTCAAGTCCAGACTTCTGTCAGACCACCACCTGACGCCCAGAGTTCTGCGAGACCATCATCTGACTCCTGAACTTCTGCTGGACCACCACCTGAGGCCCGAGGCCCAGACTTCTACCTAGTCACCACATAACGCCCAGAATTCTACTAGCTAGAGTATCACCCTACTACTATGGTCCTTCCGACCTACATCGCTAGAAAATGTTCTTTCTGACCCTGGTCTTCTGCTGACTACAATCCTTCCGACCTCACTCGCCAGACAATGGTCCCTAGTCTTCTGCCGACTATGGTACTTTCGACCTCTCTCGTAAGACAATGGTCTTTCTGACCCCGGTCTCCCGCCTACTATGGTCTTTTGGACCCATGTCTCCTACCGACTACAGTCCTTCCAACCTTCATCACCTACTACAGTCCTTCCGACCTCCATTACAAGATAATGGTCTTCCTAACCTCAGTCTCTTGCCAACTACGGTCTTTCAAACCCCTGTCTCCTACCGACTATGGTCCTTCCGATCTTCATACCTTACTACGATCCTTTCGAACTCCATCGCCAGACAATTATCTTTATAACCTCTATCTCCTGCCGACAATGATCCATCCGGCCCCCGTCACCTACTATGATCTTCGCGACCTCTATCCTATTGGCTATAGTCCTACCGACCAAGCAAATATATATAAGCAGAGCGATCCTTGAAGCAACCCTTGTGAATCCAATCATAAGCTCCCCCTCACAAGATCCTCTCTCTCTCCCTCTCTCTCTTTCTCTCCTCAAGGCCTTCTCAGGTCAAGGCAGCAGCCAAAGGTCTTGAAAAATGTTGAACAAGAGCTCTTAAATAGAAGAGCTTTAAAGGAGCTCATTAATTGCAAGTAGCCGACTTTATCATCCAGGCCGATATGGACATCGGCCTGGCCGATCAGTGCAAACTCAGAAGATTGGACAGAGCATCGCCCTGGATACACTCCTGGACGATTGAATTTTGGCTTGATCATCCCGGCCGATCTCACGATCGTCCTGGCCGATCAGTTCAAATCAGAGGCAAATCGTCCTGAGCATCGCCCTGTTTTTGAGCTGGCCGATATTTATCGTCCTGAAGTAACTTAAGGTTTTTGACTATATCGTCCTGGTCGATCCTGCGATCGTCCAGGACGATATGATCGTATCAATCATCTTTAATTACTCCCTTGATTTCCTGATCAATTAAGGCATAATCTGAGAATTTCGTCCTGGCCGATAGTTTAAAAATACAATATACCTTAATTGTCTAAGGTGGCTACTTCTTTCTGTTTTAAGCTTATCGTCCTGGCCGATACACGTATCGTCCAGGCCGATATGTTAATGACGGCTGCCTTAATTAAGAATACTTATTTAGACTTTCTATTTTAAACTGATCGTCCAGGACGATATTAATATCGTCCTGGCCGATGTGAGCAAAAATAGAAATTCTAAGTCTCTCAAGTGTGTGTGTGTGTAGGGTTACTTAGCATCAGTCTCTTTGATCATTACAAGTAGACTCAAAAGTAAAAAAAAAATAAAAGTACAGACTGACTCAACCCTTCACCTACGCAATCCTGAACTTGGCTTTTTCTTGATCGTCCGATCTTCGATTCCTGAAAAGTTAGAAGCAATAAGCAGTCCAAGAGAAACAGTGTTTGTCAATCATCAAAACATAAGCCATGAAAAATAGATTTGCAACAATCTCCCCCTTTTTGATGATGGCAAACACAAGTAGGAAAATTTAAAAAAACAGGTTCATTAGAAAATCAAGGTTACAAACCCAAACCCAACAGCTTTTTTCTACCACACCCTACTCCCCCTTTTGTCATCACAAAAAGAGGATCCAGATACAAAAGAATACATCACATCAAATAAAGACTAACAAGCAAACTACAAACAAAACAGGAAACAAACAACAGAAAGTACAGACTAAAACAACGAGGGATCAGATCATCAGATGGAGGTGATGGAGGTGGCTGCTGAAAGTAGGTGGCAAGTGTGGTGAACTGAGCATTGAACCAGGCGATGTCCTGGTCATGCTGTTGCTGCTGCTGAGTAAGGAAACTGTCAAATCGAGCTAAATCCTCAGTGCGGTGCTACTCGTAGCGGACAATGTCCTTGGAGTGTTGCTGCTCCTATACAGCAACGTAGGCGTCAAAATGAGTCTCCCAACAATCAAACCTCTCTATGAACTGATCAACCGGTGAGTGCTGGTGGACAGGGACAGGATCTGGAACGGGAGCGGGAGCGGGAGCCTCCTCCTCTCTAGCCCCCCGACCTTCCCCATCTCCTGGGTGGAGACGAGTACTATGAAGGGTAGTGAAGGAATTATTTGAGTAGCAAGGAGGATGAAGGTCAGGACGAGCAGGATATTGGATATTGTATTTGGTTTCAAGAACATAGGCTATGATGTGTCCTAAGGCTAGATTGGGCTTTCTCTTATGGCCTGGATCGCGAATTGTGATAAGGTGATCAATGTAGCGAAAGATTAGATCAGTGGCATTGAATTCTCTTTGGGCCATAATGTAGAAAGTAGTGAGGGAAAGTAGAGGGGTGATGTGGATTCGGTCCCCTCCTTTTGGAATTATGGATGTGCGAAGGACATTTTGGATTGTCCTAGCATCTTTGACTAAAGAGCTAGTCTCTCAAACATGGAAAGGTGCATTGGTCTGGCGAAGGAAGTGATTCGCCGTGGACTAGTCAAAATCAGGATCAGAGGCTATTAGGTGCAGCTTATCCCGGTGGTGGATAGCTGTAAAAGATCAACACAATCCTGATATGTGATTTCGACAGGGCGTCGATTCACATAGGAGGTCAGGGCTGTGAAGGTGCGGTTAATGCGCAGGCTAGCATAAAATTCATGGAGGAGTTCGAAAGAAAATGGGACGGCGAGATTGAGTATGAAATAAAGAGAGGTGTGAGCAAAAAGATCCATTACCGGATATGAGAGATGTGCAGGATTGATTGTCCGGGAGAGGGTGATGCCACACTCTTTGTAGCGACGGTAGGCAGCCTGATCTTCTGCCTCCCTGAATTGAGGGTCCAGAGTCGACCTCAAAGAACTCCCAGACGCCTGACGAACACGTTTCCCACCAGCCATAGAAGCGAGTTAGCAAGAAACTACACAAAGAAGAAAGGTGGAAAGTGAGAAAACAAGGCTGGAATTGGCCAGAATTTAAAGAAACGACAATATCGTCCTGGCCGATCGCAGAATCTTCTAGGCCGATATGGCTCAATAATTGTGTATAGGCTGATTGGTCAAAAAGGCGGTCCGATCGTCCGGGCCGATCAGATATCGGCCAGGCCGATTAGATACAGGCGATCGTCCCGAGGAGTCAGGCTGAACGACCTTTGAAAAAGCAGATTGTCCAGGCCGATTAGGTGTATCATCTAGGACGATGCACAATAATTGATCGTACCGGCTGAAGTTAAAATGTTTTAAATTCTTACCACGTGTATCATCCAGGACGAACAGTGGATCGGCCGGGACGATTGTCCAATAATGGATCGTCCGGGGCCGAATTTAAAGATCAAAATGTGC